TGTTCAGGGTGGTATGGCCGTAAGCGAGAGTCTTACATACACACATGCCTTTTATAGTTACTGTTACGCAGCAGTGTGAAACGTCTGTTTGGTGACTGTGCTTATATTTCCCTTCTATTCTCTTTAAAGGCTAACGCTGTAATTTCACCCTCTAACAAGTATTATTAGTTTAAGCAAGGACTCGCATCGCTTATTTAGACGTGTTTTATGAGTTTCAGCTAAACTAACGTCAGTGACATGTCTGACGTCAGTTATAACTTTAACTTACTCAGCTGATGACTTCGGTAGTACTCTCTTTCAATCTCATCCACTTTAAAAGCGTGTTGGTCTCCAGAAACACAACAGAAGACTATCTGTGAACGTTAGTTAGCAGCAGTCAAACAGCCTTCTAGCCACAGTTTAAGCACAATTGTCAGGATGGCCGAGCGGTCTAAGGCGCCAGACTCAAGGTGACAAACCTTCCTGTGAATGGGACTTCTGGTCTCCGAATGGAGGCGTGGGTTCGAATCCCACTTCTGACAATAAGTTTTTGTCGGTGTGAGACACAGCAAGGTTGTGAATGATGCTTTTGAATCAGTATGAAGGGCCTGTCAAAGTCCACCACCACCGGTTATTTCACGTGTTTTTTTCTTGGCATATTAAATCCCAGTGAATGTAAATATGATTTTTTAGCCGTGACAAATAAGTAACAAGTCCTGTAATGTCAGAGTTAAAACAAATCTCTACAAGCTGTCCCACTAATAAACCTAAAACGTAAATATTTTTTTGTTTTATTATAAATATGTCCAAAAGAACATTAAAACTTTACTGATCCCAATTATTGAACTGCAGGAACAGAATACAGATAAGAAGAAAAAAAAATTCTGATAATACAAATCAAAGTGAAATAGTAGATACAGCTTATTTCACATACACGTGTAGTTGTGCATAATGACTATCACGTAATCTGAAAACAATACAATTATAATCTGAAACATAACTATCAATATATGAATATGCTATATACACCTGTTCCTGCTACATATGAATACAACAATGTAATAAATTAAAATGAGATCAATAAAAAAACAGTAAAATGAAGGAATGATATAAAATAAAACAGTTTCCACTTCTGACAAAAGGAGCAGCGCCATCTGCCGACGAAAGAGGAGAAGCTTGCAGCACCTGGTATTCCCAGGCGGTCTGGGTCTGCTATCAAATACTACTACCACTACTACTACTACGACTACTACTACTACTAATAATAATAATAATAATAATAATAGGCCTAAAACCAAACCGGACCCTGCAAACATCCGAGATCAGCCGAGCTCTGTGTGTCCATAAAGAATCATACTGGTCCACTAGTATGTGTATGTGTCTTATGGATCTTATTAACCATCAATGAGCCACACACTTGCACTGGTGGCATTCAAATTCCTTCGTTAAGATGAACATGGACACTATAGTTTATTTTGAAATCCCATAACAGCAGTACAACACACCTTCCCACCGCCTAATTAGACTTCCACGTGAACGCACCTGTGCAGCTTTTGGCGCTAATGAACCAGATTTAATGGCGCAGCTGTGCGGCGGTTCCGGTTTCCCAGTCGGCATCTTTGTCTCACCTGACGGCAGAGAGAACCCGAGCGGACCGGAGCGCTACCATGGCTTCCGCACTGATGGCTTGGGTTTGGATCGGATTAACACTAGCCCAGCTCAACAACGCAGAGAGCCACCTGGACGCACACGGACATTTGGCCGGCCAGGACGAGCTTTTTGACGGCGAAGAGCAGCTGTTTGATACGGCTGCTGAAGACAGGACCGACCGAAGTTTCCCAGCACCGGTGTGGAAGTTCCTCCAAGGTGAAGACCCGCTGATCACAGGTTTTCTCTGTCTAACCTTTCAAAAACATAAGGGCATTCAGACTGTTCCATCAGTGAACAACCTGTGAAGACCGAATTAGGAGCACTGTAAAACTGTTAAAGAAACTTGATTAATGTTTCATAAATAAGCAATATGGCTTAAAATTGCTTTTCACATTTGCTTTTATTGTCCCAAAACCTGTGACTACTTTAATATGAAAGGATGTTTCTGTCAAAACTGGTAATGTGTGCCCGTTTTAATAATTTATGTGAAGATGAGGTCTTTACATTCATTTACATACAAATTCACTCAGGCCTCAATGCAAAGACTTTCACTTTATACATTCAGTAACTTCGGTTTCCATTTTACTTTAGATTTATAAAGTGCCATTTCACAATGTCAATGTACCCTTCAAAGTTAAACGTTTCTACACATTTAGTTATGGCCTGATAACTGTCTTAAAAATAAATAAATGTATTATATTTATAGTATTTACCCATTTTAATTTCTGGGTAGAATAATCCTGCACGTCTCATGTCTCAACACTTACCTGGCCTGCCTTGCGACCAATCAATGCGTTAATTGACATCCATGTGAAAGGCAGATTATTTGAGTGAAGAATCATGGCTTTGAGGTACACTGGTGGCTCACCTGGTGAAGCATGTGGCCCATGTACTAAGGCTGAGTCCATGCTGCAGTGGCCTGGGTTTGATTCCAGCATTCAGCCCTTTGCTGCAAATAAACGCGTTTCCCGTTTAACCTCTGGCATCATTTCCTACATAATTCTTCTTTTTTTTTTCTTTCTCATTTCAGGGAGTGGAATAAGTCCAGAGACATCAGATTTCAACAGGCCACAGTATCGCTGCAGTAATGGAACACTTTTCCTGCGCTTTTCACTCATCCGATACTCAAATCTGCGTCTTGAAGGTGTGTTTGATTTGTCCACCTACAGCGTGTTTTTGCTTTTTAGAAAAAGGAATAACCTCTGTCAGAAACTTAATGTTTCCATTATTTATTTTTTTTCCACAGATGGGGTGCAGTTGTTGTCACTGCCTGACAGGTGTCACAGTTCCATTCATATTCATAGGTGGTGGTTGTTGGTGAAGCTTCATACTGGCTGCTACACAGCAATACAGGTAACATGTTAGTGACTTTGCCCAAAGTAATGAGTACTAATTCTCAGGTTCCATCTAAAAACGGTATTCCTCGCATCTGCAAAAGCCAAGTGGTTGCAAGTTGTATAAACGTAGGGTATACACTTAACAATTGATTTAAACTGAAGAGACAATGGATAGTCCGGAGGGATATCGGGGCCATATTTCATGGTAAAACTACATACTTCATAACCAATTAGCTAACATTAGCATTCAACCACTTCCAGCTAACTGGAAAGCACCTGTAGATTGGCAGTGTGAGAGCCCTGGTTAATTGAACTACATGCATTTTCTTTGTGCAAAACAGATGCATTCAGTATCCTATATATTTATATTGAACCTTGTGCTGCTGTAGCCTTCATGGTAATGCAACAACATTCGATTCAGATTTGTTGGCAGTGTTTTGGAATTGTTACTAGGTCTGCCCTACTGTAGTCTCGCGATTCCAGGCTGGTGGCGCTGCTGCCCTTGACCAGTTATGTAAAGTAATTCAAATTTAAGTCTGTGCCATGGGTGGAGTTGTTTCTATAAACTGACCACAAAAACAGTCTTGGCTCTGAAGTAAATTCAGTTATGACCATGTTTCTTCAGATGCCTCCTACAGTTAATAACAATATTATCTATCCCCAGACTGGAGATGGAATTGGTTTCCGCCCGTTGAAACTGCATTTCTTCGACCGTCTGCTGCAGGAGAACATGACTGGCATGGCTGTCTGCGAGAATCCACTAATATCACCAAAGGCAGCATCACAATTGGTGACTTGTAGAAGAACACACATCACTGTGAAGCTGCCTCGTGAAACAAAACTGAAGAAAGTGAGAGAGCTTGGTAAGGACCAAGTCCTTAACTGGCCATCAGAGACACAGCCTTGATATAATCAATCAATCAACTTTATTTCCAGACTCATGTCCAATAAATACCCACATACCAATACAAAACAACAGCCTACAACAAACAAACAAAGACAGAAATAAAAAGCAATGGATTACCAGTGTTTCACATGGATGACGGTATCGCACAAGTACTAAGACAGGGTTTGACCAGCAGCAAAATGGATTGGGTACAGGAAAACCATTCAATCTGCAAATAAATTTGTGCATTAGGTTTCTCAACAGTGCATGGAATGTGTTGACTCCTACCCTACTATTATATCCTATGATATATTTTTGCCTTATAAAGTTATAACTGCTGATCTAGTAGTAAATAATTGCATTCTTGCACATCGTTATTTTTTCCAGCTTTAGTTAGTGGTTTGGTCAGACAAACTCCTGAGAATAACTGTCCTTTCCTGTACTTGACTAGTACATTTTGAATATTACTTCTCAACTACTCACTACAGAATTGGTAATTGTGCCTTTTCTCCCAAAATCTCTCAGACTTTGTTTTTTTTTGTTTTGTTTTTTTTTCTTCATTTTTTTCATCCAGTTTTGTTTGTTAAAATCATAACCGGAACGTTTCCAGCCTCTGAATGTAAGGGTTTCCATCTTCCAAAGTAGTTTCCTTCACAATTACAAAAATGAAAAGGATGTGATTAGATTGTTGGATTTCAAATAAGCATAGGGTGACAACAAAAGTAATGCAACTATTTTTTAAGTAACTAAATTTATAAGTAACTAGTTACTGAGGAAATTAATATTATTACTAGTGATGGCTTACTGCCCAGAACTGCATAGCCTATAGCTGGATCCTAAGTTGTAAGATGTTAGCTATCTAGTTACATCTGATGACTAATGTTGGCTAATTAGCTTCTGTTTTCCTAACAAATATGAGAGGATGCTTGTAATTGCTTGAACCACAATTATAAACTTCAGTCTGAGAGATTTGAGTTTGCTTTCTTTGGCAGATTTTCAAACTAATCAAGGATACACTGTGAGACAGCGAAGGACCCCCAGTACATTATTTGTGGAAATATCAGTGTTACCAGACAGGGTAAGTGAAGTGCGAAAGAAGTTAAAACAAAGTTATGTAATTTTGTGTGGAAAACTAATAAGAATGTTCACAGGATTCTGGCTTTGAACTGGTTTACGTTGACTCTGCTGGGAGACTGTGCGTGGTGTTCGCAGCTTGTTCCCCCATGTTTCCTAAAAAGATTAGAAGGCATGTTAGGAGATCTTTGGAGGAACCAGATTTATTTGATCTGTGGGGCTTTGATGATGTTCCGCTAGAAACATTCGATACGCAAACACAGACAATGGGCACCTCAGCAACGGACACAGGCACAATACAGGAAACTGTTAATGATGTTGATTTTAATAACTTGTGGGGATTTGAGGATATTCCTCTTGACCCATTCAATCCACAAACGACACAGACGACAGCCAGCTCAGTAACTGCTACAGAGACAGATGAAGAAATTTACGAGTTGTGGGGATTTGAAGAAGTTCCTGAAGGGCCATACACTGGAATAGACGTAGTGATTCCAGGGTCTTCTGCCACCACTGCGTCTTCTGCCACAACAGCTGCCACCACTGCGTCTTCTGCCACAACAGCTGCCACCACTGCGTGTTCTGCCACCACTGCGTCTTCTGCCACTACTGCGTCTTCTGCCACCACCACGGCCACCACAACTACAGCCCCAGCGACTGCTAGTACCACCGCTGCAACAGTAACCA